CCATGCTCGTACCTTTCTTTTTTTCTTTTATGAAATTGAGTCAAAAGAATTTTATCCAGAGAATAGAAACAACCATTAATCCAGCTAAAAATCGATTGAAATTGCGCATTTTTTAATCGATTATAATCTGGTTTTAAACTTCTATTTTGTTTTTTTTCCCAATTTGTATGATTTTTCCATTTTTTTTCAAGTGAAATTCATTAATAAATTTCAATTAATAAAAATTAACAAGTCTTTTTAATAGATTAAGAAAAATTCAAAAGAAAATGCTTGACAATGAAGACGAACAATCGCAACGACAAAGACTCAGGTTATAATCGGATAAAAATGGACTCGTTATGACTTGTTCTTGATGAAGAAATAATACTTGTTGATTCAATATCTTCCATTTTTTAGCATGAGTACACGACGCTAATAGCATATTCATCCAAAACAAATTATACGTCAATGAAAATAACGATTCTTCAGTAAGGCAACAATGTTGTTTGCTGCTTGTATTCATTATTCGATTAGTCATATTAAAAATTAAGAAGAGTGAACAAGGTACAGGAGGCATCAGTGAAATTTGCATACGGTTTTTGTTTAAATATTAACAATGTGTGATATGCCTAATAGAAAATTTTATATAATTCTTTTTGTGGTAGATTTCTTATTTTCGCGTATTTTTCACTATGTGACTTTATTATTAATCGAAATGAAGATGATTATCTGAAAATTAGTCCATCTATCAACTGTGTATATTTACGTTGGGAAGTGCATCTCACCAAAGTATCGCTCTGAGTGATTTTTTGATCTTCACAATGTTAGTTCTTTTTCATGTGTCCATTGATGTTCTTACATACAGGAAGAAGAAATTAGATAGGTGGATAGATCTAATATCCTATACATCGCAATGTACGTTAGTTTGCGATCACTTATACTCTCGATGATTCTATTTTAAAATTATGTACTGCTCGTTGCTAGAGGTTATTCAAACTGTTTCATACAGCACTTTACTACAAGATACCGTGAGGAGAAAATTTAGTGTCGAAAACAGGAAATCGGAGAGAGGCAGAGTAAAACGAGAGAAAACAACAGTGAGAGGAGGTAATATGAATATATGGAAGGCAGAGAAGACAGCCCAAGTGAGCAAAAAATAACGAAAGACGGCGTCCATAACTAGTCCAAAATGTCCGCAACGCCCGTCAAGTCTAGTCTGAAACGTCTTGCACACCCGTCATGACTAGTCACCTTTTGGAGAAATGTCCTTCAAACACGTCTGGACTAGTCCAGAAAGTCCTTGAACCCAGTCATGTCTAGTCCATTTCGTCCTTTGAACCCGTCCAGACTAGTCCGAAGACTAAGAAAAAGAGGATGAAGATAGATTCGAACATCCAACCCGACAGTATTCAAAACCGGACGGGCATCCTGATGGTAGACTAGGACACTGAGACAGACTGACGTCAATTTATACAGTCTAAGATACCAAATTGACTCTCGTCCATCCACTAGACAATTAGAAACCAGTTGATATCACACGACTTTGACTAGTCTGAAACGTATTTCATAGAGTCAAGACTAGTCCGAAACGTCGTCTGCGCTCGTCATGACTAGTCCTTTTTCAAAGAGTATGTCACCCGTTCTAGTCAGACTAGTCTGAAAACTCTAAACAACCCACTTTTTTTGAATCAAATATATCTTGTTAATTCGTTTAAACTGATCAGTAATGAAAGTAAGAATGAAAGTAGAAAAACTTTTCAATATCTATATCGTTTGTTAAAAATAATCAATGGATAATATCAAATACATTTAATCTATGAACTAGATAGTAGGATAACAATCGTTTTATTGCCTGTCTTATATTCAAATCTTTCTGGATTGAGGATCAAAATTGATCTATTATATTATGGTTACGGTAATTAATAAGACACATTTTTTCATATTAAAACTATATCGCTCGCCAAGATATTATAAATATTTCTCTAGGTAGAATGACAATCAGAGAGTCTGCTATAATCAACAACGAGGTCAAGAATAGATAATATGCTCTGTGCATTCCTGTCTTCATATATCTTATTATATTTTGTATTTTCATATGTTGAAAATGTAAGAGTATATCAAAACTAACAAAAAAGTAGGAGTAAGTATAATGAACTATATTCATCTCGTAGCGAGGAATATTAATTTATATTTTTTAATATTATTAGATGTACTATGCTTAAAAAAAACTGAAGAATAATTTAAATATTTTAATGTCATAATTTTATGTTATCTTATTTTAAATATAAATTCTAATAATTTTAAATTTAAGAATATATTTAAATTAAGTAAAGTTAATTTAATTGTTAGTTGAAGATATGGTAATTTTAATTTAAAACTAAGCCATCATATGAAGAAATCTGGTTTCTTTTGAATATAAATAGCCTTTTTATTTTTACATTTAAAATTTATTTTTTTTAACGCAACTAATTATTTCTCCTTAACGATAATCGAAAGATATTTTTCCAAAAAATATACAAACTTTTTGGATTATTTTTTTAATGTTGTCCAAATAATGTCATATTCTGTAAAAAATAATTTTTACTTAAATGTGAACATAAAAAACTTTAAGCAAAATTGTATTAAATAGCACCTTAGAATGATTATGACTATGTAGAAGCTAATTTCTTGATCATATGGCTCAATGGTCTAAGCAATGGGTAAGTAATACATTGTACGCATGTTCGAATCTAATCTTCATCCTTACATATTTCCATTTAGACTAGTCCGAACTCGTCCACTACACACAAGACTGCAACTTGTCCTATGTACCGTCCCTGACGTCCTTACTTTTTCAATTTTAAACTCATTTTGGACGGGCGTCGCTGTCGCCCGTCTTGACTAGTCTTTGTCTCAAAAAGTCCTCGTCCAAGACTAATCTGCATTTCAAACAATAATGTTTCCCATAAACCGACTTCAGACTAGTCCTGGACGAGTCTTTCTAAAAAAATGACTAGACTAGGCACGTATAATGTTGCCCGTCAATCACGTGATTTAGACGGGCTTCATGACGGCCAAAAATCCCGGACTAGTCATGTGCCCGTCGAATTTGAGACAAAGACTAAGCATGACGGGTCGACATGACTAGAAAAAAGACTAGTCATTTACCCCGTCTTTTGCTCACTTGGGAGAAGAAAGCAAACAGAGTAATAGTAAGCAAGAGTAGAAGAGATGTAGAAAGAGAATTATGATGATGAAGAGTGAGAGAAAGGGAACCAGAAATGGCAAAGGGAGATACAAAAAGAGAAAACGAAGTGGTGGGAAAAGGAGGAGAGGAAGAGAGAGACCGAGAGACAGAGGAAGACAAAAGGAAGCAGAGAGATAAGATGAGATGAGGAGGGAATAGATAGTTAGATAGAGGTAGATATAGAGCAAGGGAGAACGGAGCAAAGACAAAGAGCAAGACAGAGGAACAGAGAAATAAAAGAGAGCTGGGAGAGAGGCGAAGATACAAAGAAACATAAAGATGAAGAGCAGGAGGGACCGAAAAGGAAGAGTGAGATCGAGCGGCTGTTAGAGAACTATACATGCATGGAGGCAACAGATAGTATTGAAAACAAGAGCGAAATACGAGATAAGTTGATGAAGTGTGTACAAAATGGAGAACAGCAGCAGATAGAGTTTAGAATAGAAGGAAATATTCATTAATCAACAGCATGTACAGTTATTCACATGCCGAACAAAAGTGAACGATCTACCAAGAAACAAATTTGAGATGACTTTTCACTCCGTACATGAGAATTTAATATCTCTCTTCAGCATTATCCGCTTTGGTTTCGCCTCAAAGAAAACATCATTCAAATCTACGCGTGCACTATATCTCATCTGTACTATTTTTCATTGATCATAAAGTAGATACGAATTTAATAGAAGTAAAAAATGATTTAGCAAGTCCTGGAGTGTAACACACATTAATGGAGAAAAAAATAAGAAAAATGAAAGCTAATGTCACATCAATCAATAGCCGTACGCTAACACCTTCAGCTACCTATCAATTGATTAACTATCACTCTAGAAAATAATCATGAAAAAGAATCATTTGTACTGATCTTTACTTACATAAACCGCATTATATTCTACTCTATGTGACATTTTGAGCAAAAGTACCGTTCATCGAGCTCCAAAACCTTTCCAAACCACCATCAAACATCAATAAAGCCTTCAAAAACTTTAACATGCATCGTACAAAATTCTGATAACAGTCCATCGAAAACTCGACTTTTCGATGAAGTTCCTACTTGTTCCTCAATAATCCTCTCTAAAACAGCACTACTCAATAGAGAATTGAATCTCCCAGCCATCACAACCGATTAGAGAGCTATCATAAGTTCAGTATCGCATGTCAGCAGGGATTATCGTCTGAATGTGCTTAAAAGTCTGTTATTTGGGGTCTAATCTCTATTTTTTTGTCTGATAACTCCTCTCGAAAACATCTCTATTCGATAGAGAAAAGAATTCTCTATCCATCACAACCAATTAGAGAGTCATCACAAGTCCAGGGGGAGAGATATAAAGAGATTAAAATCTAATCTATCCGCATGGATGTAGCGTTCACGGGATGCGGGGACGGGGGTTGTGTACCCCTCCACTTTTGTAAAAATAGACTTGTATTAGAAGTTTTGTTTATAAGATTTCAATATTACACTGTATTATCAAATAATTATTTGAAATCTAAAGACAAATGACGTAACTCGACTAATCGTGAATCTTAATCAGGTTATAAAGGTCGCAAATGACCGAATGATAAATTTTCTCTTATATACGTACATAAAAAGATTATGATTTGTTCATTTTCGACCGATGTAACACAGCTGTAGTTCATTGTGTTTTCAAGCAACTACACTATTTTACACATTGTTTTTCAGGGTAAGGTCAAACTACTCTTGATGAACTGAAAGGCTCACTTTTCATTTTCAAATACAGGATATATATAATTGTGTACCAGTTTTAGATAATCAAATTTATATATATAAGAATACAGTATGAATAAACCTAAACGAACACCAACATTAGATTCATTTGTTATTAAAAAACCTAAAAATACATCAATAATATCATCAGATCCAAATATAAATCAGGATGAAGAAGCAACAAAAAATGTTATATTAGATGGTAATATCGTCAATGTCAATCAATATATTAATATTGATAATGTAAATGAAACAACAACACCACTTGTTAGTCTTGAAAATAATCTGTTATCTATGTAAGACAATCATCGTAGTTTAACAAATTCAACAGTTTTGGACGAACGTTGTCTTCTAGTGTCTTCTATTTGTTGTAGTGGAGGTGATGATGAACGTATTGATATTAGGGTTCAAACATCAAATTATGATTATGGTATTTGTGAGAAAGAAAATGCATGTGGTCGTTCCGCAGCTGCATCAACAGATATTATTGGTTGTGAAAAATTAATTAGTAATCTTTTATCTTTGAAAAAAGCTAAAGAAAACATTGATATTCTTTTAACAATGTTTAAATCCACAAATAATTCAAAAGAATCATGTGCACACGAAACATATTCATTTTCTAATGATGTATTAAAAATTGTTAGTGATTTGAGAGTATATTGTGAAACATATCTGCTTGAATGTGTTAATAATCGTCCTCTTGTTTCCAATTCATTACCAACATATTTACAAAGAGATCCTGGTGCTTATCCAAATTTACCACGATTTAGTAGTGATGAATTGAAGCATCTCATTGCACTTGGATCTTATCAACCACGTCTCTCAACATATCCTAAATCAAAAAGAACGAAAAAAGTTGAAAATGGTGAGATAAGCGTAGAGGTAGATTTGAGAAAAACAACAAGTTTTCAAGCTAGATGGTATGATGATTATCCATTGATTGAATATAGTATTTTAAAAGATCGAATCTATTGTTTCGTCTGTCGTTTATTTGGGCATGGCCCAGGAGCACTTTGTGCTGATCCTGCTTGGACAACTAATGGATTGCAACAACGGACTAAGATGATAGGGAAAGATGGTAAATTGATTAAACATTTTCAATCGAATGTACATATTTCTGCTCATCAACGTTTACAAATGTTTAAAAAAGAAGAGTCACATGTTGATATTCAACTTGATAAGGGTATGTTCACATCACACTTGTTAATCTTTTTTACTTCCAAAATCAGAATGAAAGTTACATTTTTTTTTATTAAATTTTTCTAGAACGTATTTATGTTAATCATCATCAACAAGGATTATTAAAATTAAATCGTTATATTATTTCAAGTCTTTTTGATGCAACAAAATTCTTAGCACGTCAATCATTAAGTTTTCGTTCTGAAGTTGAATCCGAAGGTATAATATTCATGCATCGAAGACCAATAATCTACGACAAATAATATACGAAATTTTTCTTTTCAGGCAACTTCAATCAAATTGTTTCATTACTACGACGTTATAATAATACAACTGATCAATGGTATAAAGATAAATCTACAAGAAGCTATCGAGTACGATATCTTAAAATTGATTGATATCATTCAGCTTAGCTTAATGTAACTACATCTACTTTTTCTTCAGGTTACTTATTTAAGTAATGATGCTCAAAACGAGTTTATATCAATTATTGGTAAAGCTGTACATGATTCAATTATCAATCGTTTAAATAAAAGTTTATTTTGGTCTGTAATGGTTGATAGTACACCAGATATTTCTCATAAAGATATGATATCAGTCATCGTTCAATTTGTTAATGAAGATGATCAAGCTGAAGAACGATTATTAAGTATTCACGAAATAAAAAGTAAAACCGGAAAAAATATAGCTGATAATATGCTGCAGGTATTTGCTAAACTTGGTCTTGATATTAATAAGTTAATAGATAAGTTTTGAACGCATTAAATTGAATGTTGAGTTTGTTATCTTTATGTAATCATGTGATTTTAGGCCAGTCCTATGACACTGGACGAGCAACATGTCCGGAGAATACAAAGGAGCAAAAAAAATAATTAGTGAATCAATAGGTCATGAAGTTATTTTTGTTCCATGTTGTGCACATAGATCAAATAAAATTGTAGAACATTCTATACAAAATAGTTTAGAAGTAAAAACGTTTTTTGATTTATGTGAAAACATATGTTTTTATAACTGGAAGTACAAAACGTTATTCAGTTTTATGTGATATCTATTCAACGTCAATGAATGAAGATGTTTTATCAGTGAAAAAGTCAACAGATACTCGTTGGAGTTCACATTATAACAGCATTATTGCAATTTATGAATCATTTACTGGAATTATTCATGTACTTGATGAATTATGTAATGATAATGATAAAATCACAAAACTTGAAGCACGTGTTATTTATGAAAAACTTGTTTCATATGAATTTTATTGTATATTGTTATTTATAAAACATTTGATATCTATAACAAATGCATTAACAATAACATTACAAGATGAAAATTTAGATATATTATTAGCTATAGATACATTAACAAAAACTATTTGTTTATTATAAAAATATTTTGATTTGAGTGTAAAATGGCAATGCACCAAATCAAACAAGAAGTGTTATTTTTTTAGTGTTCTTATTAGGGACATTGACTGTAATAACTTGATTATCGTTATAAGATCATCTTCAAGATTATTTGACCAATGTTAAGCTGTGCTAGTCGCTGAAAACAAAGGATATCGTATGTTCGAAATGACAATCAGATTCGGAATGAAAAAAATTTCACTGACAATTTTCAGAGTATGACTCGAGTTCAGTTCCGAAAAAGTTTAATGCGCTATGTTCGGCTGTAGAAGATTTTATATCACCTTCAAAATTTATTTCGTAATGGTAATTTTTAATAACAAGAATTCAATTTTTTATTTAGATATTGTGGAACATCATCAAGCTTCAAATTTTATCGATCAATGAATGGATTTTGAAGGTTTATTTAGTGGTGATATGGATGAATTACGTAATATGGATACTGTATCACAAGTAAATCCAATCGAGGAAGATAATATTACCTATGTCACAAAAACCGGACCAGTTTTAGCAGTAAACCGCGGTTTACCGGCAAAAACCACCCGTTTACCGCGGTTTATCGGTGAAAACCACCGGTTTACCGCGGTTAACCACGGTTTTCCTATGCCAAGGAGCCGGTAACCGGATCGGTAAAACCGCGGTTAACCGCCGGTTTTCTTCACATGGATAATCAATCTCAATGGCAACAACAAGATGATTTAAATCTTAATAAAAATACTACAATTGGCGGTTTATCAGAAGAAACATGAACAAAATTAGAAGAATGTCAAAATGAATTAGATGGTTTAAATAATGAAAACACTAATCTTAATGCTCAATTAGCTCAAATGAATAATCCAGCACTCCGAGTAAATACCTATTTCTATACTATTATGTATTTGAAAAGAAAATAATATTTTCTTTTAGAATCTTTTATTAACAAGAATTAATTCAATTCAATTCAATATCAAACGTGCGTAAATGGAGGTTAGATTTTATTTTCTATGTACTATCAAAGATGTTTTTTTTTCTTTTGCGAAACACGATCTGAAAGGAGTGTTTTTTTTTTTAATTTGAATTTTATTGTTCCACTAGGGTTAACAAAGAACAGCGTACATGGGAGTGCGATGACAATAAAAAAGAGAGCACATATTATTGAAATATAAAATAAGAGGACAACATGTTTTGTTCACAAAGGATGTCGCTTTTTTTTACATCACAGTATGTACGGATCAGTATAGTTTTTGTTTCTTAATATAAGTTACGAGAATGGTGTAGGAGAAACGATATATAGGATCCCACAAGAAAAGTTGTTTTTTTTCTTCATTGAAACGGATAGGCTAATGTTGTATAAGATTGTTAATAATTTACTTTTTATCTTTTACATAGATTGCTTGCTTATATATCTCTATATGATTATGGTAACATGTTCGGCAGTCTTTCAAGGGGGAAAGAAGGGAAAAAGTTTTAAGACAAACGTTTCCAAAAGAGAAGATGTACGCTTAAAAAGCCCATATTGACATTTATGGACATTTGTAAAATTGAGAATATCTAAATATGTATGATGAGCACGTTCGCTAAGTCTATTTGCGAAGATACTGTTTTAATGAAACCCACAACTACGATAATACTCTTTCTGTGGCGATGTAGCAATTCAGAAAGCATTCCATGTTTGTCTATATATCACAGCTTCTGGAGCCTCATCTAAGTGCTTGTGAAAACGTAACCAATATCTGTGTACATAGTCTCTTAATGAGAATTCTCTACTTATAAGGTGGTGAAATCTGCGTACCCGTAAAGGGAGTAAACAATACGTATTCCTGTCATATATACATGCTCTATTCTCTCACGTTGTTTTGCTGTACAATAAAACCACGTGGAGAATAACCAAGAGAAGTGAGGAAGAGAGAAAGCGCAGAATAGTTGTCTTTTGATTTTTAGTTCGTTTTTTGGTATAGTGTGAAATATTTGCTTTAGTGCGCAGTATGAACTTCTTACTTTTTTTAATATACTTTCAATATTTTTCCCCATACCTAGTTTAGTTCCAATTTCAACACCTAAGCACTTGAAAAATGGTACATATTCTATATTTATATCTTTATATTTGATAACTGGTTTCTTTACGTCTCCTGCACTATGTACAATCATTGCTTTGGTTTTAGAAACGTTTACCGGAAGAATGTGATCTTCCGAAAATTTTTCTAATGATTTTAATACTATTTTTTGCTTGGTTTTCTATGGATTTGATATTCGTTGATAGTTTCATTCCCAACCTCCTTTAATAATCATTATAAGATCATCAGCAAAAAGATGAGAAGTTATTTATAAGAACTGAGTAGGTAGAAAATGTATATGAAGTCTAAACAAAAGAGCAGCTAACACACTTACTTGAGGAGCTCCTACTCTAACAGAGAATAACCTAGATTTGGCGTTGCCATGACTTACACTCATTTTACGATCTTGCAGCCAGTTGAAAATCCATTTTCTTAATCCTAACAGTATCTCCAATTTTTCAAGTGTATTGATCAATGCGGACCACCATAAACGATCAAACGCGGTAGCGAAATCAATGAATATAGCTAGTGCAGAGCGATTACACGCAGCCACTGTTAGTCTGAGATCTTCAATTAGAGACATTATTCTAGTTTGTACGATCTGAAAGGAGTGCTGAAGTGTTGAGGGATAGAAATTTGGACCCTCCCCCCCCCCTCACAGACCGTGACAGACAGGGCTCTGGACCCACCACAGACCATGACAGGCAGGTTTTGGACCCGTCACACACCGTGACAGAGAGGGCGTTGGACTCATCACAGACCGTGACAGGAAGGTTTTGGATCCGTCACAGACCATGACAGACAGGGTTCGGATCCATCACAGACCGCGAGAGACAAGAGGCAGAGGTCATTATAGACTGTGATAGAGGACTTCGAGGAAATATTAGAGATGATGCATAACTAACATATGATCGAAGCATGTATCGAGTATTAGCTTGTTGAAAGTCTATAGTGTAAGATAAGCCATTATGAACAAATGTGCATCAATATGCATAACAAAAAACAACAGGTTTTACAACATCGGCTATAGCAGCTACATCGTGTTTCACATTTTTAATCCCGCAAAGGATTGCGCTAAGAGCTTTTTCCAGTGTGATCAATTATCAAATATGTAATGTAAATCACCCATTTTCTTTTCTTTATTTGTACATAAATAAAATAACCAAGAAATAACAAACACATGATTGATTATTCATTTGCATAATCTCTTTAAGAATACTTTTTAAATTTTCCATAAAAGTGTCTGAATGTGTTGCAACGGTTCGTTTCAATTGATGAAGTTCAATTTGTGATGATTGCCGTTTGATAACAAGTGCAAAGGCTGTTTCATATTGATTACTTGTCAATAGAACAAAGTGGCTAAGACTTTATAAAATTTTAAAAAAATAAATTAAAAAAAACAAAGAACAGTTATTAAAAATAATTTTTACTTTTCAATCTTAAAATGTCCTAATGGTTGATGTTGATCTTTAGTTAAATCCCAATATTTAATATAACCTTGAGAATCATGTGCAAAAAATACAATTGCTCAACCTACTGACCAATTACAACTAAGAACAACGGACGAGAGACGAAATGCTTGCGACCACGTTAGAATTGGTTCATTTAGAAATAATTCAATCAGTTTTTAATTGTATATTCCTCCCGGACATTGATTATTAGAAGCATATTGGGTTCCATCCTTCCGTCTTACAAAATATTGGTCTTAGAAAATCAATAATTTTAAAAAAATTCTTCTAAACAAAAAATTCACTACTTTCAAAAAGTAGGGATCTTTTGGACTTCTAGTATGATATCGACTAATGGAGAATTTTACTAGTGATTTATGTAGCTTTCAAAAGTTTCGCAATACCTTGTCGAATTACAGACAGTTGGGTACAAAATAGACCCGATCGTCACTATAGGATAGATGGAGAACAATCGGAAAATAAAGTTAATGTATGCCCTGTATAACCGTATCACGTAAGAAGTTGAAATAGTATTTAATAGCAATAAAATGTCTTCAGTGGTTATACAATGTTTCAAAGAAAAATAGATCCCATGCGATGAAAACCGGATAAAAACCGGCGGTTAACCGCGGTTTTACCGGTCCGGTTAGCAGCTCTCAAAACCGTGGTAAACCAGCGATTTCATCCAGTAAATCGCGGTATACGGCAGGTTTCATCCAGTAAACCGCAGTTTATCGGTACTGTTCGAGCCTAGATTTCGCCAATTATTCTTTAACTGTAACATTTATTTTTGACTGAAAAGAATTTATTTAAAAAAAAACACATAAGCAAATTTTAAAATCGTACATAGTAAAAAAAATGAAAAATTTATAATAAAAAAGAAAAACAAAATAAATGTGGAAACCTCGGTTTTAAATCCGAGAGTTATGTGTACTTCAAAAAGTGAATGAGACAGATGAGTCACCCTAGAATGTGTGGACATCAAAATTGTCCTGGCAAACCCTTTCTGTAAACACTTAATTTCTATTGGTTATTGCTCAGCCAATACGATTTGGAGGCAAATACAGCTCAGATTTGAACTCTTCACCTTGATTTACCCTAAGAAACTCGTTTTTCCTATAACTTGATTTCTATTGGTCACTGCTCAACCAATGGGATTTCGAGGCGAATGGAACATAGATTCGAGTTCTCCATTCTAGAAAACCTCAAACTATCATCTCTGTGATGGGAAGATAGAGCTCTAATTGTGGATCATATAGATCGTGGACAAAAACAGAACCGAATTCCGATTAATTATCTTTGCAATTGGCGAGTTAGCTTTCTTGTTTCTTTATGTTTTATATACCATTTTGTAGCTCGTGAAATTCTCTATCGAATGGTGTATAATAGTTGGGGTTTTAGCTGACTGTGATAGGAAACGTTTTTTATGAATACAGAGAAGGGTCTATCTTCTCATAGGGGAAAAGGACTATTTTTGCAATAACTCAGCAATGGTTCGGCCAGTCATTCTCATCTTCGAACTCGACCGAGATATTGTTAAGACTAAACTGTGTAGAAAATTTCATCGCGATCGGACTCTCCTTTCAAAAGTTATCGTGTTAACGGCCGGACGGCCGGACATACTGACCGATTCTAGAGTGTACTCACTTTTTGAGTACACAAAAATATTATAGTAAAAAAAAATCAAAAATAATATTTCAAAAAAATTCTTTTTAAGTTTCAAAATATAATCTAAAAAAATCAAATGTAAAAAAAATAAGTTTAAAATAAACTGATAAAAACTTAAACATTGAATATAAAAAATTAATCTGAAAACTAGGGTGCAAAACTTAATCTGAAATTGAAAAAAAATTATAACTTGAATTAAAACAAATTAATCTTAAAATAAAATTAAAAAACTTATCTAAAATAGAATTGAATATTAAAATACTATAAAAAAGAAATAAATGTTAAAAAATTATTGTTTAAAAAATGAGATAATTATTAAAAAAAATAACGTGTAAAAATACATGAAGTTGTACTACACGTATTATTCATTACTTTACCATTTTATCTAATTATGGGAACGAGCAAAATGAACGAAAGATCGCTATGCACATGTATATATACATGTTTCTGTTTCCGTTCTATTTTCCCTCTTCGCATTCTCTTCACCAGAAAAAATAGCGATAAACCGTGGTTAACCGATGAAATTGCAAAGAAACGCGGTATCATTTAAAACTGTGGTTTACCGCTAAAACTGATCCGGTTTTCGCAACATGGGATGATTCTTGGACAATATATGTCAAAAACACATGAATTGTTTCACAATTAGTTTTTATGCAGTTACTCCTTCCTCTTTGTATTACTCCAATACCCATAGGATATAATCTGCCTTTGCCTGCTAGAGCTCATCGGGTTCAAAACTTTTGGATCTGATTAGGTCCGAAACCAATAGCTCGACGGGCGCTATTGCCTATTCAATACTGTTATGAAGGAAAAAAATCAGGATTTATCATATCACTTAATCTCCTTTTTCTATCGCATAGTCATTAAAGTAACCAAAACTATCCTGTACCAAGTGCAGAACATCTGATAGACCTGACTACACCACCCTGTGAAGTAAATGATGGAGAAATGATCATTAAAATGCATTATTATCCGTAGCTAGACCATTTCGTCTGTTAAAATGCACTATTTTTTATTGAATAATGGTAAAGAAGCCGTTAAAATGCGTTATGAATCAAAAACGGACCATTTTGACCATTTTCATAATCATGAACTTTGAGTTTTTGAGTTTCGAATTAACTTAAATAATACTCATAGTTTTTAAAGATCATATGAATTACTAGTATTTGCTTATTAAACATAAATTTTTACATAGTCCATAATATTCTTCGAAATTATGCACTAACAATTAATTGAAAGTCTTTAATTCTAATGAAGACAAAAACAAGCAACTCTCAAAAAACTGTTAGCTTTTGCACGGTTTTCAATAATAAAAAATCGTTAATTATAGGATCAGAAAAGATCTTAATCTTCATAACACTACCGAATTAAAATTTTTTTCCTTGGAGATCGATTTCTTTACTTGAAAAAAAATCAGTATTTTTTAGCGATGTTGAATTTCTTTCGTCTATATTAAGGCCTCCCCCCTCAAAAATCGATCTCAGCTCTAGCTCGTTCGAATCGCATGAAATTATCAGAATAGGTTGGGGATGAAGTGGAGGAGCTGTGATAAAATTTTCAGCTCGATCCCACGATGTTTCGCAGAGATATGGGCCAAACAAGAGTCAAAAATAGCTCATTCGGCAACCCAAATTTCTCGATTCAGGCTCGTCCGATATATTAAATTTTTTTTTTGTTTGAAAGAGCATGTCAGGATGCAGGAGGTATGAAAGAGCTCATTTTTTTTAAATGCTTACTTTTGTAGCAGAAAAAAGCAATCACAAGTTCAATGACTCAAAAAACTCTCAAAAAATAGGTGTCTAATTATATAAGTATCAGAGATGGGCGATCCACGGGTTTCAATCCGCAGGGCCACGTAGCGATGGCGAGGCGGGGAGAATATTTTTTTTAGTCCTTCGGGATTGGGGGAGGTACAGATTTTGTTCAAGATGCGAGCGGGCGAGGCGGGTAAGACTATTTTAAAAATATGCGGGGTTCGGGCGGGTAAAGAATTTTTGCAGGGCACGATGAAGGACCGTGAAAATTTATCGATAAATGTCGTTATTCTAGACATGCATTACGATGTATATTTTGGTTGGTTCATTATTTTCATCCTATTAATAGCTACATGTAGTGATGGGCCTAAACTCTTTACGTTGGAAAGGAAAAAACGAAAATAAAAATTCTTACGACTATGGTGCAAGCAAGACGCAATTTTTCTTTTCTTCCTGTACGAAATTACAAATACCGTGTGCAGCAATGACAGTAAGATATATGTGATTCCGTAATTTCGTACAGGACGAAAGAAAAATTACGTCTTACTTGCAGCATAGTCGTAAGAATTTTTCTTTTCGTTCTTTCGCTTTCGCGTTAGTTTCGGTTGATCACTAGCTACAAGCTTTTGTTTCTTCCTTTCCTTATCGTTTCTTATATTGAACTTCGATTATTGATTTATATTGAGGTATGTTCAGATTTCCGAAAAAGGAAATTACGGAAATTTCCGAAGCGTCCATCAACTCGATAACTACATAGCAAAGCAAATGAAAATATTTTAAAAATATTGGAAAGTTTAGAAATTTTAGAATTTTCTATAATTTCCGAAATTTCGCTACGTATAGAATTTTGGAAATTTCAGAAATTTCGGAAATTATATAATTTTGGGAAATAGCAAACAATTTAGAACACAAGTGCTTGAAATTTCCAAAACTTCCGAAATTTCCTTTTTCGGAAGTCTGAACACTGCTGTTTATATTCACAAGCGAAAAAACAAACAAAAAAATCATTTGATATTTAAAATTAATCTTTGGAATCGATTGTCTCTCTTATCAATAACAACGATCTAGGTAAATGATTTATCATCTGATGAATCGTTTGTTAGTATGATGCCATCGAATGCCTCTCGTTCACATTCAAAACTGAATATGAACAAGAGGTATTCGATGACATCATACTGCTTGGGTCGGCCGCGGCTCATTCAAAGATCCACGTATAAACTTTGTCTCAGATTTTTTTGTAATAACTTGATCAATTACATAGAATACATCACTGAAAATAAACTAAATGATGAAGACAAACTTTATTCGGGTTTCACAGGTGCGGGGCGGGCCCGTCAGAAAATCGATGAGTCGGCCGGGGCATGTTAGAGGCTTGGCGGAGCACGATAGGGGCGGGAAATGCTCAGGAAAATTACCCACGGGTATCGGCGAGGCGGGTCCCGCGGAGCGTCAAAAATCGATGTCCCGCCCACCTCTGATAAGTATCTATATATATAACAAAAACAAAGCTTACCCTAGAGAATATACTGAGTTAAGGGTACCCAAAAAAGTACCCTGGTACCAGTATGTCACAGGAACTTTTGGGTACCAAAGTACTTGCAGGTACTTACAGGTACCTATGTGGTACTTTGGCAAGTACCCTGCTGGAAAATGCACAGTAATTGGGTACCTAAAGGTACTGATCAAGTACTGAATTGGGTACCATTGTATAGTATTTCTAAGTACCCTGTTACCAAATTTTCAGTATGTTCAGGATCGAACCTGATCTTTGGCTTTTTAAAATTTTTTCTTTTTCTTGAGATAATTTACTAGATTTTTTTTTTACTTTATTCAATTTAATTTTTTCAATTCCAAAAACTTAGCAGGAACAATGTCGGGATCCGACTCAACTTGAGTTGGTCGTAGACCACTTCAGGGTAGTCCGATCTTAATTTACGACCAAGCTCGGCATTTCCTCGACTAAGAAATAGTCAAGAAATAATTTAGAAAAAACTAGTATGAAAATTGATTATTTTCTTATGATTTATCGAGTTGTTTATATAGAGCTGTACGTAAAAAAGAAAACGGTGAATGAATAGTCGCCACACAGAACGCGAAAAATTTAGGATACCCTGTCGAGATTTCCTCAGTAAAGTTACAGACTTGTGTATCCATGCAGGTACTTATTCAGTGAATGTACTTTTACGGGTACCCCAAACAGTACATACATCAGTAAAATTACTGAGAATTTTCAAAGTACCCATATTGGGTACCCTGCTAGAGCTTTCTCAGTACATGGGTACCCTGAACTCAGTACTTTCTCTAGGGTATTTTAAAAAAAAGAACTCTTTCATACTCTGCATCTTGACATGCTCTTTCAAACAAAAAATATATATAAATATATCGGACGAGCCTGGACCAAGAAATTTGGGATGCGCGTTCGAAAAAGTGTTAACTGAGAAAAACTGAAAAACATTCTCAAATTTTCTATGAAAAAAGCATATTTTTCAAGCAGAAGATGACGAAAATCATCAAAAAAAACCTCAAAAGCCTCGATATTCTTAGATTAGGGAATATTGCTTGAAGATGCGAGGGCTTGGCTCGAGATCGTGTGGTCAGGCAGGAGGAGGTCGTGAGATTACCACTTGTGATCATAAGAGAGAAGAAGGAGGTTCAAAACAGCCAAAACACTGATTACGTAATTTCTAAACCATCTCCATATGAAATACTATTGCTAGATGTCGTCCATTACCAACATCTTATTCCAATAAACTACCTAGAATTTATTTAAATTAAATATCAATAAGAAATAAATTTTTCATTTATTTATCTAGTCAGATGGTTACAATAAATCATATATAATTGGATAACAACTTTCAATTCAATGAATCATCATTACACAATGAAGAAATAATTTTGTTTCTTTTATAGAAAACTCCAGTATAAAATCTATATTATATTTTACAAGTTTTCTTCTTCTTCATCAAGAGCTTTCATATGATTAGTCACAGAACGAAAAAAAAGTATACATATATATATATATATATGTACGTCGTATACATCCGTTCATTATGTATATATATGTATATGTCAGTCATATCTATATTATATTTTACATTCAGAAACTTTTTTCTTATGTAAATTAAATCAACTTTTCCTATAATATTAAAGTTCAACCAGGGGAGAAAAGGCGAGGCTCCCGGAGTACGGTGGAAGTACAGAGGAGTACAGTGAAAGTACAGACTCCATGAGTCTCGCTTTTCTCCCTTGCTTCGCAGGAGCTTCTAGTTCATTCTATTTATTTGTAGATTTATGGTTAGTTTAATTTGAACTATCCTTTTTATCTATTGTATTCTATGGCGACAAATTCTAAAACAGATGAAAATTTATCATTAACAACAATAATTGATAAACATCTACGTTCAATAGTTTATAATCCATCATTAAATTCATTAATTTATCTTAATGATAAACAAGAAATCAATGTTCGTAGTGCTGATAAATTATCAATATTATATCATCGTACATTACCATTAAATAATATAAATGAATATTATGAAATAATACCATGTCATGATAAATTTATTTTGTTAATATCAACACATATTTATGTGAGACAATTATATCAAGGTATTTATTTTCTTGATTCAATAATTGAATCAATAAATGATGAAAATTGTCATGTTTTTATTGAACTAACATATGGTAATGCACAATTATTATTACAATTATTATCAACATTAGATTTAGCAACATCAAATTATATTGAAGAATTTCATGAGCATATATCATCATCATTATGAAATTTAATACAATTTTCATATGATTGTCTTAATGCAATTAAAATTTGTTTTGATATATTACGTTTATATAAACAACAAATGCAACAAATTGAAAATACACATTCATCATTACCTGGTATTGTTGTTGTTGGTCTTTTACTTGATTATTTAACAAGATATTATCATCATAAAAAATCATTAACAACAAATACAGATGAACAAATTGGTTCAACATTAGAAACATCGTCATCATCAACAATAACATTGACGATTAGTTTTTTTTGAATACAGGTGGATGAACTACACGTGAACGCTTAATGTTTAGTGAAGCAACACGATATAGAACATTTACAATTTGACCACATGCAGCTTGTCGATGGCTTTCACTAGTATGTTAAATTTTATTTGAGATTTTGTATAAAAATCAAGGAAAATTTTTGACAATTTTACATGTGTAAGAGAAGTCAATATTTAATTTTGAAATTACAATATTGTTTACGAACTTCTATTACGAATTCATGATTATTGCTCGCATGAAATTATGCCTCCAAAGAGAGTTTCTTAGAATTTTTAGCAATTGAAAGGAGATGTAAACATTGTCGAAGTCACCTTTGTTATGTCAGTAAGAAGCACGATTTCCTATTTATCAATCAATAACTGATAGTTTTCTAAGAATGGAATCGTATATTAATCAATCGACTGAGATTTTCGAGTCATGATTGACTCATGAAGGGCATGAGCCTTGTTTTAAGTCAAGACTATTTTGGTGTCCAGTTTTCAAGCTTAGCAATAGAGATGTTAGTATAAAGTTTGAGATACATATTTTTATATGACTAACAGAAGTGTTTCAGTTTCAATCCTGTCCACGACCAATTTTTGGAAAGTTTATGTATACGATCGTTATTCTGAACCGATCAATTTATTTAAACTACTAATCTATGCAAACAGGTACAGAAAGATGAATCTTTGAATTTTTTTTTGTGTTTTTTTTCGACTCTCAAAGAAAATAGAACTGTAAGATTGTTACTATCAATCTCAAGAAAAGTTTTCACATTCACATTTATATTAGTTTCATTGTAATTCAACAAAATTCATTGCTTAACATATAATATTAGAAAAAAATTTTTAGGAACACATATTTTCAATTTTACAAAAAAAAAACGTAAAAAACAGAACTTTATATTGATGTAGAACTGTTTGGGCTCGGTCTGTCATCTATGTGCCGAAACAGTCATAAAAGAAATTTGAGTAAAAGTAACACATAAGATTATTTCTTTCGAAGCAAAAACTCAGACTAAATCTGAGCTACTCAAACACGTTATATTATATGCCTATTTATATCTAATCAGCATTTAAGTTTGAGCAAGAGTTGACCATACTTCGATAATTATAAATGTGTTTGTAAGTTTTGTGTATTCATTCTAGAAATCTGAAAGAAAAAAACCATATTAATTCCTACTATTGAACATAAATAATTTGCTTGATTATTATAGAATTTTAAATCAATGAAGTTTTTGTTTCTATTTCAAAATACGAAAGTATGGCTAAAGCTGGTTTTTATTATTCACCATTAAAAGATAATGATGATCGTGCATTATGTTTTGCTTGTACTGTAACACTTGTTTGTTGGGAACCATCTGATTCTCCTTGAACAGAACATGGACGTCATTCTTCTCATTGTCCATTTATAAAAAAGGTGATTTTACTGAAAATGTTCCATTACATACAACATGTTCAATTCAATTTGGAAAGAAAATATTCTCAAATCAACAACAACACCCCTGATTAATTAAATCTAACGAATTAATATTAAATGAACATACATTATTATTTATAAATTCTGATTGGATAATACGTTCAGTTGATACAACAAATGTTATACATATAAAAACAATAATATCATTAAAAAAATCTTACTTAACAATTAACAATAGAAAATTATATTATTTTTTGTTTTTTACAATTAGATAAAACAAATAAATCTATATTAATAACAACAACACATCAATATGAAAATTTAAATCTCTCATGTACATCACTAATAACAAATAGTACACAATATGATGAATCAATTGAAACAACAACAATAAATGAACAAATTAAAGTAAATAATAAATATGATTATTTAATTGAATTTTGAAATTTTAACCATATACCTAAACAATCTTTTTTTGTATCAATTAACTAAAACAAAATGATTTTATTAATAAATACAACTGATGGTATACATAGTTATTCTATTGAATATGATCAAACAACATTAACATTAAAAATACGTTGTTTATCATTGTATATATCAATCATGAACAAATCATATTGACTATTGTTTCAATAAATCCAATTATATTAGATAATGATGATGATGATTTAATAAATAATGATGAACAATCAATAATAAGTGATAAGGATGAAAATTTAGAAATTGAATGTGATGATAATAATGATCTTAATGATGAATATCAAAAGAAAGAACAATATTCAAATAAAATATTAAAACGAATATGTTTTTTTAATTTGTTTTAAATCTGGACATTTAATACTTTATGATGTTTATCGTACAACATCTTTAGATAATAATCAAGAAGATAATAATATTGATATTCTAGCAGATAGACAATTAATTAGAAACGTTGAAAAATGTGTTCATATTATAGGTACAGATATAATTTATGTCTGGATCGGTGATGATGGTGTTAAAAAGGTTTGTAGAAATTTATTTCTTGAATAATTTAATTCCAATACTATTGCTTTTATTTACATGAAAAAGTTAGTTAGCTTCGATTTTGTTATAGAGCAAGTTTAGAGATCTGCATGGGACTATTTACTTCGGTTGAAGAATCAGAGTTATTTTATGAAAAGACAAAATAAAAGAACATTCAACTACTACATTCTCTAGAAAAATCTTTTTCATTTAAAGCAACGCGCCAATGGCAACTCATGTGCGATTTTTGTAATCCGCTGGCATCGTAGTCGTCCTATATTTCCTATATTTTTCAAGTTAGTCCTATAATAGACTATATTTTGAGCTTTTTTCCTATATTCCTATATTTTTCAAAAAATTAAAGATTATTATGGAAAGAACCATATTTCCTTCAAATAAGTGCCTAGCATGTTGTTTAGATATTATCAGCGGCGTTCATAACATAATATAAAGCACTAAAGACAATATTTTCTTTAAATTTTCTTTTGTCTTAATATCACTTTTTTTGAAATAAAATTCATCACAAATATATAGATTAGCATGTGCTCTTTCACTGTTTATTGCAATAACTACTGACGAAATACATGTAAATCTATACATTTGTGTTGAATTTTATTTTTTTAAAAGTGATATTAAGACAAAAGAAAATTTAAAGAAAGTTGCAGCTAGAAAGTGATTCTATTATGTTTGACAGTACTAGAAACGATGGTGTTTATTTTCAAGTAGCATCAGAAACGAAGAAAACTTTTACCAATGCACCGACTATCTGTTACTAAACCGATTATTTTGCTGTGCTTTAAATATGTATACATTTTGATTATATCGCTCTGAGACTGTTAGAAACTGTAATAGTCTTGACAAAAGATATCGATTATTTTCTTTACATTAAAAGAAAGCATTTTTGTGATCTTTATCTCAGTCAATTTTATAATATTTTTATGATATGTAGGAGAGGGAGGAAAATTGACTTTTTGATTTAAATCAAAAATGAAAATCAAAAACATCAGACAAATCAATGAAAATGGTAAAATTTTTAATCTTTGTGCTTGAAAATATCAATCGAGAGTGAAACAGTTGAAATCTGACTGTTTTTTTTTGCTTCTTTGGATTTTTCCGATTTTTTAAATTTTTTAAAATTTTTCTTATTTTCTTAGTTTAAAATCAGTTGGTTTTAAATTAGAAAAATCAAGAGGAAAATCAAAAAAGTCAACAAAAATAATCTGATTTCACGTGTTTCCTCCTTGCATGTAGCTGTGTAATAGTTGAAGGTTAACCGAACATAAATTATTTCTTTTTGTCTTTGTATAAAATATTGCCATACTACTGTTTTTCATAACAAAGCTGTATTTTTATTTAGGTGAGTCGAGGTACGTTATAAGAACATCACCTACCATTCTGCAGTAGTGATTTTTACATGTCTAGTTGTTTTTAAACGAAATATTAGCGTCCTATATATCCGAGGACGATCCTATATATTTGAGATCTAACAATTCCTATACATTCCTATATATTTTTGAAGGGCTGCTGCGAACTCAGTTTATGAGCCATCCCTTGAGATAGCGCTGCAAAAAAAATTATTAGTAAAATATATTCCGAAACTATTTTCTTCTCGATTAATTTCAATATGGGTAGAAAGCACTCTATGCAATTGTTGATAGCTAGAATCGATAGTCATAGGAGCTACCGATGCTAGCACCAACAAACATACCACATGTTATAGGCAGCAAAATCCATGGGACTTGGCTAGACTAGGAAAGGCTCAAATATTTGTTTCTCGTTTCATTAGTTTGACAGATTTATGCAGTGCATCGAAACTCGTACACAAATGTTAAACTTTTTCACTGCTGTTGGCAACAATTAGTAATGTTTTTATACTGAAGCAGACTTAGGAAGCATCCAATTCTGTACGACTAAATGTTAGGTTCTATGTTATTAATGACTTGAAATAGTACTCCTTTGAAACAACTAAAGTAGAACGGTACTGAAAACTTGAGTTAGATAAACTAAAAGCTACCGAAAGTTTTCTTTTTTTGTGAACACTACTGCTTCATCATTATTCTGAGTTTTTTTAGTAAAGTACATCGAAAACTCTTCTTTCGAGAGTCGAAATTAGATAAAAACAATTGTTGGCATGTTCCTTTAAGTCTACGTCTTTTGACACAAGTTGAGAATTTTGTTTGAACTGTAACAGCTCTATACAGTTCAACAGATCAGTTATGAATAAGAAGCACTAGCTGTATTTCATTTCAATGCCATAAAACATTTGCCGTCCTCTTCCCAATGAGAATCATATAAAGATTGTTAAGCCTACCATAGACTCAAAGTGTTCCACTGCCGATGCGACTAAAGGTCATCGAGTGCGAGAATTTGCGGACTCTGACCTAGATCGGATCGATTAAAATTTATTGCACTCGCACCCGACTAGTAAAATTTTTTTGGACTCGAACTCGATGGGCTCTATATGGGACATGGAATTGTAATTATTGTTCTTTTTTTTTCTATTTCTTAAGATTTAGATTTTATGCTGATCCATTTGATGTTGATTTTTCAACATTAATTGAATGTAGTCTTTGTCAACGTAATTTAAATTCATCAACATGATCAAATTCAACAAATACTTCACTATCATCACGTCCATTTGGCATAAATAATAATTGTTATGATCCACGTATTTATTCACGTTCTGCTACAACTGGTCTATCAATAATACCATATGATCCTCATACATTATATTCATCAACAAATATTCAATATGCATTATCAAAACTTTTACCAAATTCTCTTTCATCATCAAATGTTTATTTAAAATCAATAGCAGGTCTATTTGAAATAACACTATTAAATTATACAATGCATTCATCAAGTGATGGTACACATCTTGAACGTGTTGATATGACACATTTATTAACATAACGTACATATGAAGCAACAAATGCACTACCACCTAATGTTACACTTACAACTAGTTCACATCATCTTTATAATCCAACAACATCAAATTCAATGTCACCACCATTTCCACCATCTATATCAACATTTAATTCAACAAAAATACATTTTCATTTTCATTTCCAATACTAAATATAAATACATTTCATCATACACTTTATATGTTACCAACAACAATAAATTCAACAGAACCAACAAATGACACAACATCAACAACAACAACAATTGATAATCAAATAAATAATAATTTAATTGAAACATTACCATGGTTACCAAATTTACCATCAAAATTTAAAGATAAACAAAGATTTACAAAAAGAAAAATTCAAATGAATTGCAAAAAAAAATAATAATAAAGCAGCTACAACACAAACATCAATATTTAAAAAAAATTCAAATTTATTTACTGATCTTATACATATATCAAAATCAACATTAACAATATAAAATCAACAAACATCATCATCAACAAATCTTATATTAACAAATAATAAAAATTATATTGATGATGAAAATCTTGAACAACAACAACAACAACAAGAAATAATAACAATTGATGATATATTAACACAAATATCAAATAATATTCATCATGGACAATATTTACCATTATATCAATTTATAATTGATCGTTTATTAGGTGGTGGTAGAATGTTATTTTGTTTTAGATTTTGGACAACAAGTTACATTAACTGATATATTAATACCATCATGTCATGAATTAGCATCATTAACTTTTAGATTTTTGATCATATGATGAACATATTGATTGTCAACGTTTATTTTCTTCAACACATATATCAAATCAACCATTTTTTTACATGATTTACAACCACCTATAATAGCACGTTATATACGTATAACATTAATTGGACAACCAAATATATCTCTATCATCAATACGTTTACCAGTTGGATATTTTCTTTTGGTTATCCATATATATTACATGATTATAATGATAATAAAAAATATGAAAAAAAAATAACATAAAATCAATTCAAGGTATTTATGAAACATTAATATCAAGTAATGCATTATGTCGACAAAAATTATTTAATTTATTATCATCAACACATAATATTGAAAAACATTTTATTGAAAATATTTATTATGAATGTATACAATTACAAATACAAATTAATCATGCTAATAGACAAATAAATCAATATAGAAATCTTTTACAAATCGAACATATTCAAATTAATGATCAACAACCAACAAATGATTATTTAAAATTATTAGCAGATTTATTAACAAGTCAATTAACATCATTATCAGGAATGATGCAACAAACAGACAAGTAAATCATGTTATAAAAAATATAACATAAATATTTTGTATTCTTTGAATATATCAATATGAAAATATATTAGTCAAGATATAGAGTACGAAAAAAGATTACTCTTCACATCTTCAATTAAGAATATCTCTGTCTTTTCTGACCATGTCTCATTGTTGGAGAGGGTACAATCGATTAGGTTGACATTTTTACCACAGATAGAGTACATGAAAAAACGAAAATAGCTGATTTTATCTCTGGAGGATGTCTCTAAATATTTGTGATAATAAGTTCAGCCCAATTGGATAAAGTTAGAGGGTGCCTGTAAACAGGCAGAATTGAGAAAACTGGCGTTTTTGCGTTACGTCAACAAGGAAACTACCCGAAGCGATACCCCGCCGTTTGAGCTTATATTAGGTTCAGAAGGAGGAAAATTCTAAGAGAGCTTGTTCTCATGACCTTCCAAAGTCTAGTTATGACCGTTTTAATAAATTTCCGATCCAACTCAAGGTATTTACCGAAAAATCAAATCACGAAATTTCAGATTGAAATACCATTTTTCGGTAAACATTTAAAGTAGGAACGAAAATTCACTAAAAAAAATCATAATTTAGTTTCAGAGACCCATGGAGACGAACTCTTAGGATTTTTCTAGTCATACCGAGACTTCCTTGTGAACCTAGTATGATCTCAAACGGTGGGCATCAGTTCGGGTAGTTTTCAGGAAAGTCAAAGAAAAGAATTTCTTCAATGTAGTAACTCTATAACATTGAGATGTTTAGAATCGAATGATGTCTCTAATTGCACATGGCACTTGAGCTCATACATACATTAGACCCAGCTCGAAATTAAGTGTTTGGCCAAAATAGCAGAAGGCTACCGAGACTTGATTCTTTTAGTATATTGCAATATTTTTTATAGGCTTTTCTAGCTTTTTTTTAAACCTAACTTTCCTAAGTTTTATTAGAAAAAAAATCATTTTCAGAGTTAACTTTATCCTACGATGACGAGAAACGATTTTACACAATTTTTCGAATAGTCGATGTCTTACATTGTAAAATAAAATTTCTATTTAAATTCTTTTTTGTTTAATTTTGTCTTCATCTTCGTCATTTATTTCTTTGAATGATGCTTTACAAATTTTTGATACATTTACTATTCGTCATGCACAAATAATTGATATGCCAAAACGTCTATTACAATTATGTTCATATCATTCATGGTGGTCAGAATTTGTTAAAGAATGTTTTCAACGTATATTTTCTTTCAAATGATATATTAACAATTGATCAACAACAATCATTATTTATAAAGCTTGTTGATTTATATGAACAAACATTATTAAGAATAAATTCTTCAAATGAAACAACTATTTATTATAATCGTTTATTAGCTATTGAATATATAAATAATATATATAATTTATTATTAAATACAAATAATAATTATCAATCAATTGAATGATTATTATTATTTATATATCGTTTATCAGAAAAAAAATTTATTTCCATATTCATATGAACAAACAAATAAAAAAAAAAGAAATTTTTCACAATTGATTAATAAACATTGGTCATTTTGACATACATTATCTATAATACAAAGATACACGTATAACAAATTCAGCAAATCATTATCGTTAAAAATTACGTAAAGAAACTTTATTTAAAAAAATCTAAATTATCATCATCATCAACAGCATCAATATCAACATTAATGATAACATAAACACAAATACAAACATCAACAATAATTATTTTATCACCAACAACTTCAATTGATTATTATTGTTATCATTCATTAGTTATACAACTTTCAAAATATCTTATTGAAAATAAAAATTTATCAAATAAATTATTTATATTAATATCTAAATCTTTATCTGATATAAATCGTTTATATAAACCATTTTTATTATTAAATTAAATATATAAATAAAGATAATTTAATTAAATTAATTTTAAATACTAAACAAATTTGGTTAAAATATGCATTTAATTATTTTTTAATTGATTTTATTGATAATGATATATATTTACCAAATGAAATCAATATAAATAATGATCATATTGATATTGATTATTGAAAAACATGTTCATTCATTTTTTAGCTTTTTTAAGGAGCTTGCAGATTGAGTTAGAATTAGATTTGTGTATTCTTTCTGAATATAGCTTCAAAATTTTTGTAAGCCCTCTGATTCAGAAGTAGTGAGCTGACCTTTTAGAGGCATGAAAATTAAGTTTGGATGGAGAAAATTGATGTTTTTGGCTGCTACAGTCTTCTTTACTGTATACACTATATTATCGAATTTTTTGCATAGAATTAAAGGCAAAATTGTTCTCCACAAAGTTATATAAGATTCAACAGGGCCTGAACTCACTTTGCAAATCTGTTTTCTATAAAAATAGAGCTAACTAATCATTAATATACCATTTTTATTGAGAAATGCTTGCTCTTTCATTTGTTGTATTTGAAATAATTTTCGCTCCTAAACTAGAAGTCCTAGAAAAATTTTAAGTCCTTATTCGAAAAGAACGTAAAACACTGATTGTAATTCAATGTTTTTAAATTTTCGTAGATTCCTTTAAAAGGCTGAAAAATGAACGAATATTTTTTCTACTTTTCGATTACTCGTTATATCATATTCTTCTCCTGTCAAATTGTGATCATTGTTTTTTTCTTTATCTTTGATATCCTGTCAACTGAAATAGAATATCTATCCTTTCGTATTATAAAAGGGTAGTATTTTTCAGCAGCTAGTAGTTAGTTTTCATTTCTCAAGATTATTTGAATCCATTCAGTATCTTGATTCGAGAAGTATGGAATCTATCGTAAACAATAGATGAAACGATCTGAAAGGATATTTTATCAATTGATTATGATTTCAATCCAAACGGCTACTACCATCTAAATTCATTGGATTTACACTAACGAATTTAAACAGAAAAACCCAAATCTTCATTTCCTATTTTCGATATTGAAACAATTGCTGAAATTTATTCTACAGTTTTAAATACAATCTCGAATTGATCTATCTCATATATGTTATGACTTCCAATAGAGCATTGAATATCTAAACTGGTCGTTATACCAGAGTATACTATATTATATAATTCCATCCAATATAAAACAAAAATATCATGATATTTTTTCTTTTAGAACCACTTATTGAAAATTTCTTCTCAATCAAATAAAACTAAAAAATTGAAACCAAAAGAGAAACCATCAACATCAATATTAACTTCCGATTCCAATACAATATCAACAAAAAAAACTTCCAAAAAAACTGAAACTTCAAACTCCTACAATTTCTTTAAAAGAAATCGTTCGTAATTATATTGAATCAAATTCAGCATTAAATACTGGTATACTTTGTTATGAACCAATTGATTTCGAAGAATTTCATAAACAAATAAAAATAGATCTTAATCTTAAAATAGCATTTAAAAAATTAATGCATTGTCTCAATTATCAATATTTTACATTTACATTACGTTCAAGAAAAGGCGCTTTTACTAGTGTAATGAGAGCTAAACGACGGCACAAATAATCTTTTTTTTGTTTTTCTTGTCTTATTAATAAATGTAGTCTTTATAAAAATAAAACAAACAGTAATAACCTGTAAATTCTTTCAGATGTCAACCATACCTACAATATCAACAACAATAACTACAAAAAAGGAGAAAAATGAAGAACAATTTGAACTTGAACAACAATTTGTTCTTCGAATGCCATCAGTAATCTTTTTTTTCGATTCAATCAATTTTTTTCAAAATTGTTTTTTATTTTTCCAAGGGTGAATATGCAACACGTTTACGTGAGTTGATAGATTCTGGTGATGAAAAAATTCGTGAACGTCTTTTTATTGATTTAAATCCTGAACGAAGACGTGGTCGTGTTAAATTTGATGATACTGTTTTTAAAGCTACCCTCTATGATTTACCATGTATAATAGAAACATATAAAACATTTGATCGAAAAACTTTATATAAAATAGCTGATATTGCTCAAGTAAACAAAGATTCTAATTTATTTTTAAATTAAAATGAAATTTTAGATTCTTGTTTGTCAATTACCGGGTGATCTTAGTTCAAGTGATGATGATGATGATGATGATGATGATGAAACAATGAAACGACTAAAGACAAATGCAAAAACAATATCTGATGATGGAAATGAGAAAAAAAAGAAAGATAAAGATAAAGAAATAAAATTTCAATGGCCACATGGATGTATAGCTCTATTTCAATCAGTGAAACTCTTTTTTTTCTTATTTATTGAATAATTTTAGTAACACCACCATTAAAAAATGTACGAAAACGACGTTTTCGTAAAGTAGCTCGACAAAAAACTCAAGATCGAGATGAAATGGAACAAGAAGTAAGACGTTTATTTCGGTAAGAAACTTGGTTTGGATTTTTATTTAAAAAATAAATAATTGAATAATTTTTCAAGAGCTGATAATGAAGCAATTGATGTTAAATGGGAAGTAATTGATGATGATCAAGAAATAGAAGTTAATAAATCAATAGAAAAATATCTGCTTGGTACGAAGACAATAAGAAATAATTTTTTTGTTTTTATTTAAATATTTGTTTTTATTTTTAAGAACATACTGATCTATTTGGTGGTGATGTTAGTGAATCAGATGAAGAAGAAACATCACAAAAAGGTTTGTCATAGATTAACTGATTTCAAATAAAAGTCGGATAAACAGACGAAATAGATCTACGGATCAGAATATCGATCAGAAAATATCACAGGATGGTTTTCTTCGTTCTACCTTTTCATTCTATAGGACATTTTCACTCACTCATCCTGTTCTGAAAGACGTAGGATAGGACATCAAAAAGTTCGTTCTTGAAGGACACATCTTGCAAGACAAAGGAGCCTCCTGCAAGATAATCTTTTTGTTACTTTTTTCAAAAGGATATTAATCTTGTTTATATATCCCCCTGGTCAAAATAAACTAAACACCTCATTTTGATGCTTTTCTCCTCTTTACAATTGTCGTTGAACCTCATTTTTATAACACAGATACATCTTTGATTACTTGATTTTTTCTGAAAATTACAACCTTATAGGATGAGAATCCGTTGAAAAAAACGTAATTATATCTCATGTACTGTTGTAGCAATGAAACGAAAATCTATTGTTTTCTTGCTGAATTTTGCCCTTTTCCTGTTTCCAATAACAATAGCTTTTGATGAACACATCCGCTTCTTCGTACTTTTTCAAAGCGTTTTGTGAAGAGATTTATCCAAAAAAGCTTGTAATAGTGAGAATGAGACCAGAAAAACCTAATGTATACGGCAAAAGTTGATTTTACAGGACAGAGAAAAAAATCAAAATTCAGCAAGAAAACAACAGATTTTCGTTTCACGGCTACATGAGTACATGCGATATAAGTACATTTTTCTCCACGGATTCTCATCCTATAAGGCTGTAATTTTCGGAAAAAGTTAAGTAATCAAAGATGTATCCGTGTTATAAAAATGAGGTTCAACGACAATTGTAAAGAGGAGAAAAGGATCAAAACAAGGTGTTTAGTTTATTTTGACCAGGGGGATATATAAGATATGATGTCAAGTATCATAGACCCTTTATTGATACAAAAAAAAATCATTTAACGGGTGTCCCAGAAAGAATGGGCCTCTTAGTATTTTTAAGATTTCTTCTCTATTATCGCTGCAATTAAAGCTCTCTTTTCCATCAAAAGATAGCGTTTAAAATTCTCTACAAAACCATACGTGAGTTGGCCCAAAAACTGTCTTAGATACATTTGAAAAAAGATGAAAACTAAAGAGATACAAACGGCTGTAAAATTTAAATGTCACCGATAATAAACTGCAGCACTTTGTATTTGATATTGTAATCTCTAAGTAGGTTTTATTAAAAAAGCAAAATACGATAAGATGCAGAATGAAAAGCTATACAATGTACTAACTAAATTTTTTTTTAATTATATACTTTTTGTTTTCAAAAAAAAGCAAAACTCTGTGCGACGGATTTTCGCCGTTGCGAAAACCGATCATACAGAATTTGGAGTTATTCTCAACCTAAAAATGACAGAAATAAGATAAATTGTTCTTTGTAAATTATAGAGCTATTGACGCTGCATCTTGTGATGTATTTTGATTTTTTTAGGAACTATATTAGATGGTAAAAAGATAAAATAAGAAAAAGAATTTTCGCTCGTGTAAAAAAAAAGGATTTTTTTCACAATGGCGAAAATTGGTTGTACAAAAAATTTTCCTTTTTTTATAAACAAAATATATACAATTAAAATAGACTTTAGTTTTTAGATTGTAGAGATTTTTATCCTGCACCTGGTGGTGTATTTTGTTTTTTTAATAAAACCTATTTAGAGATTAAAATATGAAATGCAAAGTGCGGCAATTTATTATGTAACATTCGTTATTAATATTTTACAGTTTTTCGTATGTTTTTAGTTTTCGTCTTTTTTCGAATATATCTAAGACAGATTTTGGGCCAACTCACATATGATTTTGTAGAAAATTTCAAGCGCTATCTTTTAATAATAAAGAAAGCTTTAATTACACGGACAATAGTGAAGAAATCTTAAAAATGCCGAGAGGTCCATTCTTTCTGGGACACCCGTTACAATAATCATGTTAATAGGTCTTATCAAATGTTGTCCAGCAGAAATAAAATAAACAATAAGAAAAAAATATTTGGCATTCATAAGAAGAGTAAAACAATAATAAAACAAACATAAAGATACAAGATTCAAAATGTAATTAATATAAGCAGATGGACAACGAGAAAGGATAAGTCTTCTTTTTATTACTTTTTCTTGAATTTCTCATAAGAACGAATCAATAATGTTGTCAGTCTCATTTTATGATAAATGTGTTCGTTTTTGAGTAAATTTCAATCCGATTGAGCTAAATAATCTTTCCATTGAAGTACTAGTCACTGGTATGGCATGTACTGTTCTGGTTACTATTAATAATAATGGAAAATCACGACGAGTTTCACTACTAGACCAGAACTTTATACGTAGGACATCTTGGGTCTGGATTCGACATTTTGCTGGAAGGATTCGCCCTAAAGAACTCTCCAAGTCTGATATCCTACTCTTCAAGTAGAGCTTGATGAGCTCTATCCAATGCAGACGGCTATTTCCACCAGATCTCTGACACACTGT